AAAAGCCCAGAGCACAGCTCCACAGAAGGGTTGGGCAAACCCCTGTCCTGGCAACCCCTATCTGAGCTGTGAAAGTGCACCAGACCTCTCCAGCCCTGAAGGGCAGGTGGCAGCTTGTGGACTCCTGTCCTGGCAGAGCCTCTTTCAGCTGCATTTTGGCTCTGAAGCCATCTCTTCTGCTGCAGACACAGCACTGGGTAACACAGTACAGGCTTCCCCAGCAGGGAGCAACTTCCCCATCCTCCAGAGGAAGCTTTTTGGTGCTTTTGAATCCCTGCCCTGTGCTAACAATGACAAAGGGACCTTCTGTGATCGACTGTGTAAACTGTTTTCTATCTTTGTGAATACACACAAATCCCCATACAAATAAGGCCCCTTGCCCATGTGGTCTTTTGGAGATGATCCCAACTCTATTTTCCAGTTTTGGTTTTCCAGGTGCTCCTTGTCTCTCTCTTTCAGACACCTCCAAGATTCCTTGGATTGTTTTATTCTTCATTACAAATCAATGCTTGTTATCAGAGCAGATTTTAAAAATGTTATCTTTATGTTATGTAACAATGTTAGTTACATTTACAGAAAACACTGAAATTTTGTGAGTATTTGCCTATGTGTAAACACATAAAAGATGCAGGTGCTTTCATCACTCTCCTGCCCTCTTTCCTTTCTGGAGCCTGCTTAATATTTTGAGACTTCCATTTACTAATTAAAATTTCTGCCAGAGCAGAACCTCCCCACCTAGTCTTCACTAGCTCTGCTTCACAAATTTATTATCCTGTACCAACAAATATCTCTCATCGTGTGCTGTACTAATCTTTGCTTGTAAGAACGACATTGGGCAGATTTTATTTTCCCAGTGCAATGAGCACATGTGAATGGTGGGTCAGTTTGGAAATCTTTTTGAGGCATTACAGCTTTAACCAACAGAAGTTTTCTCTCTAGAGGAGTGAGCTCCTCTAGATGGCACTCGAAGCTCTGTTTTCACTGCTCTGGAGGGGCGTAGATGTTGCAGGAATAAAAATAAAATTTCCTCCTCCATTTGTGAGCTCAAATCTGACAGCGCTGGAGAAGTTTTCCAGTGGGACAGAGTTTCTGGGCAAGTTGTGAGATTTGTCTTCTGATAATAAAAGACTTGTGTGGGGTAAGGTTCAGCTTCTAGAGGAAAAAATGATGCTTATGAGAGTGCTCTTTTATTTTCTTTACTGGCATCACGTGTGTTGTTTTTCCTTCACGTATGAAGGAGGGACTTAGGATTAGGACAACGATCTGGATTTAAGAGGAACTTGAGTTTATTTCCCTGGTTTCTTGTGAGACTTTTTAGGCCCTTTCATAGACTGACTCTAATTTACTTTTCTCCATTACAAAGGTAGAATACGGTGTAAATTATAACTGAGCTTTGAGTCTCTAATTAGTTTTCCATTTATGAAACAGGGTTATAATAGTCCTGATCCACTCACCTGTTGCTTGTCTTTTTCATTTAGATTGTGATTTCTTCAAGTTGAGGACTGGACCAAATGTAAGCTGGGTCTTTCAGTACTGTTCATTAACATCTATTTAGTATCCTTGGATGGATTTTCTTGTTCAGTCGCAGGCAGTTCAGATTTTTTGCAGTATTGGTTTATTCATATCTAGAAAAAGTTGCTGGTTTGGAACTTGAGCATGGATACTCTCCTCCAATCATATCTCATCTCATCTCATCTCATCTCATCTCATCTCATCTCATCTCATCTCATCTCATCTCATCTCATCTCATCTCATCTCATCTCATGTAACTGGGTTACAATGGACTACAACTTAAGTGAACTGGCCTGGCCTCACCTGAGTGGCTTTCATGCAGAGCTGCTGTGCTGCTGCTCTCCCAGCAGTCTCATTTCTGAGAGTGCTTGGTTTGGTGCAGTGCCTTGCAGCTACAGCACTGCTGACAGTGGTGTAGATGACAGCAAGACAGAACCAGCCTGGCTCCATAGGTTTATGAGCTCTGATAGGGCTACAAAGTCACTTGGCTTCACATACTGGACACCAGCTTGTTCCAGAAGCTTTAGTATTAGTCAGACAGTGCCCTTAATAATATGTTTTAACTTTTGGCCATCCCTGAAGTAGCCAGGCAGTTAGACTAGATGATTGTTATAGATCCCTTCCAGCTGAATTCTGCTCTGTTCTATTCTATTCTATTCTATTCTATTCTATTCTATTCTATTCTATTCTATTCTATTCTATTCCATTCTATTCCATTCTATTCCTCTTCATATATATTATCTCATTCAAAGTTTATTTTGGTTGTCTTTCCTTTGGGATATATGAGAGGTTCTGCTTCAAATATAACAACAGAACAGACAACCAGTAGAGATGTATTCATGCCGTAACAATGCAAATCACAGAGGTGAGAGGGTCTTTCTTCTTAATGCATTTATACCTTCTTTTGCACATCAAATTGCAACCATAGGTTGGTTTGGTTGGAGACTGTGTGTAGATGTTTAGCTGACAGTCTGCTTTTTCACATGTTAAAAATAAGTAGCAGTAATCAAGGTAAACCTACCTTAGTTACAAGAACAACTTGAACATCTGAAACTATGCATCCAGGTGGAATCAGAGTCAGCCTGTTGCCAAAATGTCTGTTGTTCTGCAGGGCTGTGCCTGTGCTCCTTGCACTGGTGTCTTCAGTTGTTGCTAGGAAATCAAGGACTTTTCAACTTCCCATGTTTTGCTAGTCTGCAGGTGCACAAGAAGCTGGGAGGGAACATGGCCAGGACAGCTGACCCAAACTAGCCAAAGGGGTATTCCATACCGTAGAATGTCATGCCCAGTATATAAACTGGTCAGGGCTGGCTGGGGTGGGGGCAAATTGCTGCTGGGGCACTGGTCAGCAGATGGTGAGTAACTGCACTGTGCATCACTTGACTTTTTTTTTTTTTGCATTTTATTTGTCTCTCTTTTAGCTATATTCCTTTGAATAAAAATTGTGATTCTTATTATTCTATTTTATTTTTGGTTTTATTGTAATATTTTATTTTAGTTAATAAGTGGTTCTTATTTTGACCCACAAGTTTAATTTTTTTTATTTTATTCTCCCTGTCCCACTGGGGGTGGGGGAAGGAGTGAGCGAGCAGCCATGTGGTGCTTAGTTGCTGGCTTCTTTTCTCTCCTCTTCTCTTAACTGCTTCATTCATCTTTTAAAAACGTCATAATGGTTATTGCTCTGTGATCATTGCTGTCTCAGAGCTCCATTTTCATTGACTTGATTCTCTCACCTTTGCAACAGACTCCTACATTCAGTGCTGCCTGGGTGGATTCCTGTGGGCCTAAGCAAACGGACGCCACTTGAGAAATATTTCACGAGAAAGCTGCTCTGCAGGCAGATGTGGGCTGCTGCTAGCATGGAATGTCCTTTCTGACACACCTTGACTTTTTCTGGACTCCATTTTTCTGCCTTGATCACAACGTTTTCCTCAGCCCTGGCATACGCTGCTGCTCTCTAATGGGGCGATTCGGGGTCTATTGAGCAATGACTTTTATCCTTCGGGGAACTTCAGGGAAATGCTGCATGATCCAAGTCAGTGATACATGCCTAACACGTATGTGATCAGTTTCTTCAGCAATAATCAGCCTTCTCTTTGGAATAAATGCCAGGAGTTCTCTTTAGCGTATTTAAGCCTACCACAGAGCTATAGAAATGAAGGATAGCTCAAGCTCCAGGTAGTTAGACCACTGAGCACACTTCCTTCACATCCCAGTTTCTAAGTGTTTTGCTGTCTGCATTCCCTGTACTAAGTAGAACATGGGGAAAGAAAATACAGGGTAAGAAAACTATTAGAACGAAGCATGTCTGCATGTGCAATTCTGTAAGGTTTGGGACTGCGATGAGTGAAAAGTCTCCATTACCACTGTATTTAGAAACTGCTGTCACTGAGCAGCTACTTCATCAGATGAGTGGGGTATACTCATATCTTTTGCAAATTTAAACTGGGATTTTGAGAATCAGAAAATGTTAACAGCACTATCAGTAACTCACGCTGCTCGAGTTATTTTCATATGGTGAGTTTATTGTGAATTAAGAATACAGGCAGTGTTTTAATGATACATGTGAAGACTCTCACATCTGCACTCTGGTTTTCGTTATGCTCTTGAGAGAAGCATTAATATAAACAAAGAAGCAAATAATTATATACATCTCCTTTCCCAGAAAATCTTTGAAGCAATTCCACTGGTACACCAGATCATTCTGTGCATTTAACTATCCAGTAAATATATACATTAAAATTTATCCACATTTTAATAATTATTCATCAGCATGTTTTATTTTGGTTTCTTAAAAATGTGAATTAGTTATATGGCTTTTTGGTCTTCAGTTTATTCTGTTGGATTTTTAAAAATTCTTTTAAGGCTAAATATGACCCACAACAATAATAAAAAAATGAAAAGAGAGGAAGATTTAAAGCATTAGTCTCTCTACACTAGTTTTTTTTTTATTTTATTTTGCATTTTAAAACATCTGTGGAATAAACATTTTACCTTAGCTGAAATAAAGAAAAATATTTGCATAAGAAAACAAAAGTAGGTCAGAAAGGTCCAAAATCTAAACAGGTAAGAATAGTTCTCACAGGACTAGTCTATACTGTATTCTGGAAATAATCTATTATCTAAACATAATTGATGTATTTTTTAAGAAGCCTATTCAACAAGTGTTTTTTCTATCATCAGGCCTTTCAGTGGTTTACCTTCATAGTTCAGGTACCTTTTCAGACTTTTCTAGAACTGTGGGTTCCTCTGTACGTGCAGTGATTGTTGTCTTTGGGGCAGATTTGAAGAAATCAATATTTTTATTAGTGCACAGTATAGCACATCCATGTACTTAAGAATTTAAATGTATTAAATTCTGCTCAACTGTTTTCATGAATATCAGCTTTGGGTTTAGTTTAATTTTCCGTTATTAGAAAGTTAAGAAAGCATTCTTTCTGTACAAGTAGATTATTTTATTCCCATTGAGGGCTGGGAAAAGACAATCTTCATTTGGTTGTATCTCCAGGAATACTAGATTGACTGTCTTTTTCTTCCTCCAACAAGATTAGTTCAGTTCTTGCTGAAGAGGTCACGATAGTTTGAGAAAGTGGAACATTAGATGAGGCCCCATCAATTTCAAATTTTTCAGCCTCTGTTTTTTCTTTAGGTGATAAGCTTTCTTGTGCATCAAAAAACACATCAGGTTTATCTGACGGGCTATCTTCGTCTGAGAGTCTTCTCTCTTTATGAGCTATCTCTTCTTTGTCAACAGTCTTGGACTTTTTGGAAGGAGATGTGAAACCAAGCTTGGGAAATCTAAACCATCCAGTTTTTTCAGTTTGCTTAGAAGAATCATTATCTGTTGTGTCAGCAGGTTTCACATCTTCTGGAGCTGATTTTTTCACTTCTGTTACTGAATCTCTGCTTGTTTCATCACCAGAAGATGAAAAGCCAATACTTGGGAGCCAAAATTTGAATCTTCCAGGAGATCTTTTACTCTCAGTCTTTTCTTTTTCATTGGTTATGTCTTTTTCTTCATCTTCTAGTTCTTCAGCTACATCCTCATCTTTAGAGAGAGGACCTGCAGCTATTCCTTCTGGTGACTTCGGAAGACCCTCTTCAAGTTTACTGGAAGGCTTTACTTCAACAGCAAATGTTTTTAACTTTGGCAGACTTACTTCTCCACCAGGTTCTTCTGTCTCAGTGTGTGTTTTGTCGGATAGTTTAAGCTCAGCACTGCCTATCCTCTCTGCTGTAACTCCGGAGCTTTCATCAGCACATTTTGGTTTGCTCGCTGACACACCTTCTATCGAAGATGGCTGCTGGACTAGCACTTCTAAGTTGCTGTGTGATTCAGGCAACTTCACCTTGAGCAATGAGAATCCCAAAGTAGCAGTTCTGACTTCTGATGAGAGAATCTCCGATTCTTTCAGTATTTCAGTACTGTAAATCTCACACCTTTCAATAGCAACATGTTCAGGTTCTACTTTCTCAATCACTTCTTGGCCCTCTACGTATGACCAATGAATATCTTGCCCTGCATTTGAAAGGGAGGACTCTATGGTAGTAGTCACCTGTGCTGTTTTAATGTCAGGGTCACTCAGTGTTACAATTTTGCTTTTGGCTTTTTGAATACCACCCTCTAGAGCCTCTGGTGTTTCTTCAGGGGCAGCAGAACTTGCTTGCAGCTGCACTACTTCAATGTCAGTACTAGACCCCTTTGGATCTATTGGCACTTTTGACACTGAAACTTCAGCTTCAGTTGGGAGAGCTTTTAAAGTGAATTTTGGTATTTTTAGTTTGGGAATTTTTATGTTTACTTCTGGGCCATCCTGTGATTTGTCCAGTGTTTCCACTGTTATTCGGGAAGATGCTTCCATGTGAGCTAGAGCTGCACTTTGCATGCCGACAGAGGCTTCTGATTTTTGAAGCTCCATTTCTGCTGCGCCTATTTCAGTTTTAGATAGTGAATCAGCTTCTGACTTTGGCAAATCAATATCATCTTCAAAAGCCTTCACTTCTGAATGCAACACTCCAAACTCTGGAATCTTAAACCTGTATGGTTTAATTTTACTTGTTTCTGCTCTGTCTTCTACTTGCACTGCCACCCCTGCAGACATGTCCTTTTCAACACTTTTCACCTGAAATTTCATTCCAGGATCTACTCTAGCAATTTTAATGTCCATCTTCAGTTTTGGAACTTCTACCTTTAGGTCTTCCAGCTTAGCTGTAACGTAAGTACCATCTTCTGATCCCTTTGTTGTAGACCATTCACATGTAGGCTTTTTTAACTGGTTTCCTTCACTGTCTATTCCTGTAATTTTCATCTCACCTTTTATCTTTTCTTTTTTAATTATTGCCTCCTGAGTTTGGATATCTAGCTCTCCCTTTGGAAGACTAATATCTATTTCCTCCTGTGTTGCATCCAGAGTACTTTCAACTGATGATGGTTTACATCCTACTCCTGAAGCCTCTAACTTAGTGGAACTTTCTGCCTTTAGGATTTCTATATCCTGTGACTTGACTTTATGCTCTTCAAGAGTCAGAGTATGCATAGAAAACCTATTTGTTAAACTGGTGTCTTTGTTAATTTCTGGGGCCTTTAGGCATGATTTAGAGAATTCTGCTGAAGACACTGTGAGTTCTGAAGTATGTGTTTTTTGTCCTTCAGTACTGTGCGTAACTATGTTTGCAGAAGTTTCAGTGACTGCCTGTGGTAATGAGAAGGTATTTTCAGGAAAACTTCTTTCAGTTTGTACTTTTGCAGATGGAATGTCTGCCTGAGCTTTTTCCATACTTCTTTCAAAATCAGCATCACTTTTTTTTCCCTTTAAGGATGTTTTGCCAAATGCAGGTATTCTGAATTTTGGCATTTTAAACCATCCCTGATGTTCTTCAGTCTGAACTTCTTCAGCTTTTATTTCATGTTCTTCTTTTAATTTGATTTCTTTCTCCTCAAGGCTCTCAATAACTCCCTCTGTCATTGATTTAGATACTGACTGGGAGCTCACGTCTACCTTTGGAGCTTCAATGTCAGCTGTCAGAACTTGGGGTGTTTTTATCTTATGAACACCTTCTCCAGGATCTGATATAACAGATGCAAGTTCTGATACTGTAACTCCCTCAGCAATGTCATCGATTTCATTTGCTCTTTTTAGCTGGAGTAGATCATCTTCTATTTTTGGAGAACTGATCTCTGTGTCTGGGCCTTTCCCTTTTGTTAGGGAGATCCCAAATTTTGGCTTCTGGAATTTGGGTATTTTAATCTTCTCTTCAGGACCTTCCAATTTCATCTTTCTTCCATCTACAACTGATGATCTTTCTGTTACTATTTCAGGGCTCCTCAGTTCAATTGAAGCTTCTCCTCTGGGAAACTCCATACCTGTTTTTTTAGTATCTTCATTGGTAGAACTTGATTTTAGGACAACCTGCTGAAAACTCCCCTCTGAGGGAGGCAGAGCAGCATCAATCTTTGCTGAGCTGACTCCCATTTCAGTTTGGGAGGCTCCAGTTTCTATTTTAGAAAACTCCAGAGTGGGGATCTTAACATCAGCCAGTTTTATGTTTATTTGTGCCCCTTCATCTGTCTTTTCAGAATGACTTCTTTCTATATCAGGTATCTGTATGGAATCATCACTCTCTCTTTCTGTTTTAGGAGTAGCAGCATCAGCTTCGACTTTTGTTGAATGACTCTGAGATTTGTGAACCTTTATCTTGGAGAGTGAAATTTTAGGCATGACAAATTGAGGCTTTTTAACTGCACTTTTTTGTTCAACTTTTCCTGCAGATATTTCCAGATCAAGGGCTGGCCCAGTACCTTGACCATCAGTTGCAGTTCCTCTCACTTCTGTGTCTACTCTGCTTGACATAACAGTAAGTTTATGATCTTCCAAATTTGCTCCAGAATCTGGTTTAACACTTGCTTCCTTCTTTGGTGACCAACTGAAGGATGGAAGTTTGAATTTTGGCATTTTGAAATGTCCTTCTTTCTCTTCTCCATCTCCATCTTGTTTTATTTCCCCTTTGAATCTTAGTGCTTCTTCTGAATCCTGAACATCTCTGTCTGTTTTTGGAATAGAAATATCAGCTGATGTCTTATTGTCAGCTTCGGTAATTTTGACTTCCAGGCTGTGAGATTCTTCTCTTGTGCCACATTGCACATCCAAATTTGGTGCTTCAAAAGCAATATCAGCTATTTCTATCATTGCTTTTAATTGGGGGACCTTGACTTCTGATTTGGATTGGCTGACCTTTTCTGACCCTTTGCCCTTAGAATGTGTAATTCCAAACTTTGGCATTTGGAATTTAGACATTTTTGTTTTCCCTTCAGGACCTTCAGTTTTTGTTTCTACATCACCCACAGCAATGTCACCTGATGTTCTTTCAACACTTGTGTCAGAACTCTTTACTTCAAAGGAGCCTTCTGTTATCATCTTAATATCTGAGATTGGGAGGCCAGCATTAGCAGGGGCTGATTTCAGTTTCAGGTCATCTGTAGGCATGCTAATATCCATCTCTGTTTTGGGAACTTTGACTTCTGGTTTGGAAAATTCCAAAGTTGGGACTGTAACTTTTGGCATTTTTATGCCCTTTCCTGCCCCTTCTCTACAACTCCCTCTCTCAGATTTCTGTACTGAAACACTTTCTTTTTCTTGCCTGGGACCACAAATGTCAGTTTCCAGTATGGGTGGAGAGACCTGGACTTTCTGACCCTTAATTTTAGGGAATGGGATCTTTGGCATGACAAATTGGGGCTTCTTGTTTCTGTCCTTCTCACCATCTTTTTCTGTTGATGTATCAAATTCCACATGAAAGTATTGACTCTCAGAAGTAGGAAATGTTAATTCCGATTCTGTGTCTCCAGATAAAGCAGGTTCTTCCACATGTCCCTCAGCTTCAGAAGAAGCAATAACTTCTTTCTTGGGAGACCAACTAAACGAAGGCAATTTAAATTTTGATGTTTTAAATTTGTTTTCTTTCTCCTCAGTGTCCTTCTCTCCTGAAACCACTTCATGTTCTGCCTTGTAGTCTAAACCTGGGCCACGGCTTTCCACTTCTAATTGTGGCACAGTAACTTCTGCAGATGGGAGGGTATCATCCAAATTTGGAGCATCCAGAGCAACTTGAGGTGAGGGCTTGTGCATCTTTACACCAAATTTGGCATCAGTGATAAGAGCTACTTTTTCAATATCACTATCAATCATATCAGACGTTAACTTTCCTTTAAAAATTTCAGGTTGCACTTTGGAAACAATGTCACTTTCTGATTGTTTTCCCTTAGACCAAGAAATTCCAAATTTTGGTTTTCGGAATTTTGGAATTTTCACTGTAAAATCAGTGTCACCCACAGGTATTTCAGCATCTAGAGTATTCCCATCTGGCTTTAGACTTCCTTTCTCAAAAGAACCATCTTCACTTAAAATTTCAAAATCGGTTATTGAAACATTTTCGTCAGTAAAAGACGATATTTTAGATTCAGATTCAGCTAGATTTATTTGGTATTTTGTCAGAGTAATATCTGCTTTTGGTAATGAGGAATCCTGTTCAACTTTAGAAGAACCAATATCAACTCTGGAGAAACCCAAATTAGGAATTCTGAATTTAATGTTCTTCGTGCTGCTGTCTAGCTTCTTCTCAGGAAGAAATTTATGTTCAAAACTGTCTGAAAGAACAGAAGGAGCTTCCTCAGTAATAGAGTAACTAAGAGCTTCTGATACAGAACTATCACCAATGGATTTAATCTGAGACTGAGACTTAGAAATTCTAGAAACGGAAACTTTAGGCATTCGAAAGAGAGACGTTTTAGATTTACCCGTATCATCATCTTTTCCAGAAGAAGAATCTATAACAACTTCAGAACCAGGTACTGGGATCTCGGCCGCGGGCAGGCTGACGC